CCACCTGTCCTTTCTCTGGGTACATACTCTTTGGGAGGAGTTGGCCTTATCTAAGGGTAGGCAAGTGACTCAGCCCTGGCCAATCAGTGCACTGTATCTCCTATATTCAGTGACTCTACTCTTCTGAGCTTAGCATGGATCCCAAACCAGCCAGCGAGAACCAGCCTAGGATGCTGGCTGTCTGCACCGAGGGAAGAGAAGCTCTCTTCTTCTCTGTGGCCCTCCAACCTGAGGGTATGCTGGCCCAGAGATGTTGGCAGATATCTTGCCTATGTGGACCTCAAGAATGAAGTCAACATGGGAGAGCAAAGCCAAGCCCTGGAAAGGGGTCAGATATTAATGACACTGTATAAGCCCCTGAATCAAGCCATCCCCAAAGTCCAGCCTACGCTTGGGTTTTCTACATTTCTTTTTGCTTAACCCATTGTGGGTTGGGTTCTCTGTCACTTACAACCATGAGTCATAACTGATAGAGAAATATGCCAAGCTGATATATGTTTTCTGCAAGAAAGCAGAAATCTCCTCTAGATGATGAAGGAAGGAAAGAAAGAAAGAAAGAGAGAAAGAAAGAGAATAAGAAAGAGAGGGGAAGGATGTAGAGTGGCCCATAGAACCAAAAGAAAAGCAGAAGTAGGTCTTGTATGTGGACGTGTACCAGAGTCACTTCCGGGGATTCAAATGGCAGGAATGAGTGGACAGTCATCAGAGCACTGCCATGGAATAAAAGAGCAGTAACCGTCTAGTGTCCTTGAGTCACTTTACTCAAGATTCAGATTAGCTTGGGTGGGGGTAGGAGGTATCCATTTCACCCTACTGGAGTCTCATGCCCAACCTTTGTCCACAGGAAGGCAGGGCACCTGGACTGATAATTCCACCAAGACTGTACTCAGTTGGGGCTGTGTAATTCCCCAAAGCAAAATCTGTTCGAAGCACTTTGCATATACTAACTTACTTTAATACTCAGAGTAGCCCTTTGACATAGGTATTGTTATTGTTATCCCTTTTTTACAGATGAGGAAATTGGCACACAGAGAGGTTAAGTAACTTGCCTGTGGTCACACAGCTGGTAAATGGTAGAGCTGGGATGAAAACCTGGGAAGCCTGGCTCTGGAGTCTACACATCTATCTAACCCACTGCACTATAGGGCATCTCCAAAGTCCCCTGCAAGGAAATGCTCAAGGGAGGAATCCAGGAGGGAGGGGAGGGTGGATTTCCATTCTCTCTCTATCATTTGTTTAGCCACCATGTATTAACAGGAAAAGAAAAAAGATAATAGATTTCTGTTTTGGAAAAAAAAAAAAAAAAAAAAAGCCCTGCTTAGCCAATAAGGGAGAGAGGAAGGAGCCCAAAGCTGGTGATCTCACTCTCTCCCAGGCACAAAAAGGACTGAACTATCTAAGACCCAGGGGGAATTCTAGCTGTCACCAGAGTGCAGGACCCAAGTCTGAGGAAACCCAGGGAGCGAGGACAGTGTTATCCATCATAAAGTCATCGCTGGTACCCAGCGTGAGGAATGCTAGCACTTTGGTGAAGCAAATTGAAGTGGCCCCTGCCTGCAGACCTCTGCCCTCATCAAACCTATTGGGGTTTCCCTCTGTGCCCGCTCTTGGGGCCTCACACACACACACACACACACACACACACACACACACACACGCTGTCCCATACAGCCTGCTCTGTCCTCCTCGTTGTGCGGGCGTAGGGCCTGCTCTTTGAACAACATGGAGGATGTGTTGTCAAGGCTCCAAGCCTGAGAATAGCAAGGCTGCAACAAAGTCCCAGAAGTTAAACCACATTCCTCTGGCTCAGCCTTTAGCTGCAGAAAGTGGGAACTCCAACGATCTCTTCGGAGGAACACAGGTCAGTCAGTGTTAAGAGTGACTTGACTCTCTCAAGTCAGATTGGAGTCCTCTCTGTCGCTAATGAGCTGTCTTACAATGGGCAAGTTGTCTAACCTTTCCGAGCCTCCATCCACTGCCATGAAATTAAGTAATGATGGTAGGGCTGAAATTCAGTCCCCATGCCTGGTACAGCTGAACTGGTTGTTAAAACTTCAAAATACTTCCGAATTGCTAGGTAACCATAGGCCTCCCCCCACCCCATCCCTAGCTTCCCTCCTGACTATTCCCTTTGGTCCAGCAACTAAAGTGTTAACTTTTGGCAGAATGAAGACCTACTAAGTCTTTGGTCTAGCACTAAGGTCAGCATCCATTTTGATTGGCGATGCTCATGTCTGCATGGATTGTTAGATATTTTTAATGGCAGTGGTAATCTGTGGGATTAAGTGAGATGATGCAGATAAAGGACTTGGCAGAGTTTAGTACATAGTGAAGCAACTCAGTAACATTCACTGTTATGGCTTTAAACACCAAACCTAAAGGCAGAGACAGGATCAAGATCAGGATCTCAAGTGTTATAAGCAGGCGAAGATGGGTTATGACTGGCGGGTCAGGAACAGTCCCAGATTCATGGGCGAGGCTGCATGAGTGGTCCTGCCTGGTTTCAATAACCAGAGAAGGACCAACATATCCTGTTTCACCAGCTGCCCTTTGCCTTCCTTTCTCTGCTTACCTGGGGTTCTTGGATCCCATGCTGATTCCAGGGTGGGGGATGGGGAAGTCAGGAGCCGCCACATGCTGCCTTCTTGTAGTTCAGGAGAGCTTCTTTTTGTTTATTCTATTCCTGGCTCTACTATTACAGCTACTGTTGGAACCCCATGTCTCGACTACCTCAGAGTCTGAGAAGCTGTTCCCAGGAGGCTGGGCTTTGTTCGCCTTTCTCATGCCTTGGAGGATCAGAAAAAGAAGATTCCAATCCCGGGTCCCTGCCATTAAGGACTTGAAAGATGTTAAAGAGAGGCAGTATTTTTCTTCTGGCTAGGAGTGTAGGTTCTGGAGCCAGACTGCTTGGGTTCAAATCCCAGCTCTGCAGCTTTACTACCTTTGTGAGCTTGGGCTAGTCCCTTAAGTGCTCTGAGCCTCAAATTCCTCATCTGTTAAATGGAGTCATAATAGAACCTGCCTCATAGAGTTCTTGTGAGGAACAAATTAGGTAATACATATAAAGTATGTATCTCATACTTATATAGAGCCAATGCCTAGCACAAAGTAAGCTCTCATCAGGATGTTAGTTGTTAAGGAGCTCACAAGTGTAGTGGAACAGAGTCATGCCCACATAATTCTGCCCAGGGTTGCAAACAGTCTGTCTTCACTCTTCTACTTGAAATTCTTCCCCTGCTCCACTGAGCCTCTGGCACCAGCTCCCACATTTTATAGACTGAGGTCAGAGAGAGAAAGGTCTTGACTCTGGGCATACGTGGCATCATTGGAAAAGGAAGGGCCCCATTTTAGAGTTTCAGATACCGCTTCCAGCAACGCATGCTGCTTCTTCCCACTTCCTCATCCGTTGGATTATGGTTATCTGTGAACAGGGGTGAGTTCTTGCCTATCTCCGGGTCCCCAGGGCCCATAGCAGAGAAGGTGCTCAGGAAGTGACAGTGACAGGGCTTTCAAACACCTGTCCCTGTGAATCATCAATCAAGGCGCCAGGGATGTGCCAGCTAACTGGAGGCCCAGATAGTGCTGTCCATTCTATTAGGGCTCCAGAGAGAAGACAGCTTGCAGCCGGGAGAATGGGACAGCAAAACGGGGGTTTCACAGGGAATGATTCGGGGTCCTACAAAGAGCCGTCCGTTGGTTCCACCCCTGGGAGCCTGGCCCGGGAATTTTCGGGACCAGTCGTTGAAACCTCGCCTGCACTCTTGGCTGGCCTGTCCTGATCCCCTATCGCCGCACCTCAACTTCTGCTCTTTCGGCAGAAGCGTCGCCCCTTCCCTCCTCCCACGCTGCTCTTCAGCATCCCCGCTCCCATTCGACCAATCCCCAGACGCCCTGCCCCGCTTTTGACAGATGCCTGGAAGTCCCGCCCCCGCACGTGGCCCAGAGGGAGCGATACCTGCTCCCCTCCCGGCCAGCCCCCTCCCAGTTTGGAAGAAAAAGGTTTCTTCCCACCGCCTTGGGTGGGGAGCTCTTAGCTGCCAGTGCAGCCAGGACAGCCCGACCGGGCTTTGGGGAGACCCCTAAGTGAGGGGAAGAGGTGTTCCCGGGGCCCTGAAACCTTCCAGACTCACTCAGTGTAAACCACCTCGAGTTTGTGTCAACATCCGAGGCCGGAGACTGGGAGACTGGCGGCGGCTGGGGACCGGCTCCGTCTGCGGGACGGGAGGATGGGAGGGTGCGGAATGGAGGGTCCATGGGGTAGGCAGAGGGACCTTCTCGGGGAGATCCCGAGAGGCTTCTTGGGGGTCCGTGAGCAATTAAGGAAGGCCTGTGTGGAGCGGATCGGAATCAGGGGCTGTAGGGAGCCCACGACCAGCGTGGGTCCAGATAGAGGCTGGGCGCCTCGCCATCCGCGCCCGCCCACCCTCCGCTCAGTTCCTCGCCGGCAGCGCAAGGGGTGTGTTGTGGGGGCGAGGCGAAGGCGTGGGCGGCGACCACCCCAGCTCTTCCCTCCACCAGTCAGCTACTCTGCAGCTCCCCGTCGCCCTCCTCCAATTTCGGGTGGGACTTGGAGGGGGTCGCATCTTGTGACTCATTCCCTCTTCCATCCCCACCCCCGTCTGGGGCCCTGGAAGGGAAGGCTTAGAGACTCGACTGTGGCTTTCCCGTTTCCACGGCAACCATGCGGTGTTTGCGCGAATTCTCTTCAATCATCACCTTTGGCCGCCGACTTAGGTCCGGGGTCTGAACCCTAGGGCGGGGTACAGATGAGGGCAGAGCCCTTCCCCCTTCCTCGCGACTACGAGAAGGTCAGCGCGGGCGGGCGGGGCGCGCTCCGGCAGCCGGGCCTCTCTGGCCATCCCGTCCCCACCTGAAACCCCGCCTGCCACTCCGCTCCAGCGCAGCCAACCAACGCGCGATCTTCCCGGGATGAGGCGGGGCTTATGCAAATCGTGTCGCCTCCGAGAGACATAGTGATACAAGAGCTGGGGAGGCGGCTCCGGTGCGGACCTCGGAGAGCCTGGCCTCCAGCCCGCGAGCCAGTCTCGTTCCCCGCGGCCCGCCGAGGCTCAGAGCCATCCAGCGACCCGGCGAGCGGCCTCAGGTAATGCGGGCGGGGCCGGGCACAGGCCCTTGTCCCCTCCCCCTCCACTCTCCATTCCCATTCTCCTCTCTTGTTCCCCTCATTCATCTCCTTGACCCCTGGGTCCTCCTTAGGCGGCAGCATCTGGAGGGCTGCCCCTGGGCAAGGGACTCCCACCCTAATCCAGGCCCCATGGGTCTCAGGGAGGGAGGCAGAGCCGCCTTCTTACTCTCAGCTCAGGTAAGAACACCCATTGCTCTGGCCCCCCAACACACACACACACACACACACACACACACACACACACACACCCTGGGGGTGTGGTGTTGCTGGTGCTCCAGGAGGCACCAATCACCCTTCCCCTTTGCATATGGGTAGTCAGTTGCCCAGCACCATGGCAACCTCCCACCTCCACAGATAGCCCCCACCCACGCCACCCGGCCCCCCAGCAGCACCCTGTGCACTTCACACCACAAGGCCCCTGTCCCCGAAGACAGCTCCACCTCCACAGAGAGCCTACTCCCACCTCACGTTGTCCCCTCAGACTGTCCCCACCTCCCACCCCTCAAGCTGACAGAACTCACAGCACACCTGGGGGAGGGAAGACCCCCCCTCCAATTCTCCTTCTCACACTCCCTCAACAGCACCGCCACCCTCCATGGTCCCAGGGCCAGGCACAGGCCCTTGTTTGGCCTCTTTCATCCTGGCTGGAGGATGAACCAGGGGCACCAGACCCCAAATGACCACCCATACCTATCTGTCACTGCTGTCAAGGTCCCAGCCTTCTTTCCCCCCACCCTTCACAGGCACTGAGTCCTCTTATTCTGCCTCTCAAACATCTCTAACTTGGATCTTTTCTGGCCTTCTTGCACCCAGTCACTCCCTCTCTCCTATCTTCCTGCTGCCCCGCAAGGACCTGCCAAAACTCCACGTGGACTGTGTCCCTCGTTTCCCTAAGGTGGCCTGAATCTGGAGGGCAGAAGAGCTGAGTTCAATCTTCCCTTTGCCTCACATGCTGTTTGCCTTTGACCAAGTCACTTCCCTCTCTGATCCTTCATGAAGTGGGGAAGGGGGCAGGACAGAGGGTGGACTTGATGAGATGGTCTTGAACGGCTTTCCAGCACTGACACGCTCTGGTTCTGTGGCTAATTTCTGAGCAGATGGGATTATTTCACTCTTGCCCTGAACCCTTAGGGCATTTCAGAGAGGAGGCCTGGAGAGGGGGCATTTAGTGCTCACCCAGGGGACATTGCTTCTTACCCAGTCCTCCCCTTCCCACACACACTCCATGCCCAGGCCCCTTCTCAGCTGTCAGGAGTCCCTGCCAGACCACCAGCCCATGTGGCACGGACAGTTCCAAGGTGGAGTTGATCACCAGGGCCCCTGCTTTGTTTATCACTCCCTGCCCCTCATTAAGGAGGAGAGGGAGAAGACCTGACTGCCGCCGCTATGGCTGCTGCTTGGAGAAGAGCAAAGGGAGGAGAGGAAAGAGAAAAATCTCCTGACCAGGGAGCTGTTGTCACCATGGCAACCGTCTCAGCACCAGCTTCTCTGAAGCTGGGTGAGGGTGTGGGATTATTGCCTCCCTCAATCCCTCCTACCCTCGCTGCCACCTCCCCATTTGAAGCCCACAATCCGGAGTTCTTCCTTCCAGAAGAAGCCCATGAGCGCAGAGGGGCAGCAGCTTTGTGTATGGGGCAGTGCCAGTTCCTTGATAGCCAGAGGGCAACCCTCAGGAGGTAGCAGGAGAGCCTGCCCATGTTCAGCAGGGCCACAGTTCCAACAGAACATGCCCCCGAGGCCTTTGCCTTGCTGCTGCCGGGCTGTAGGTGGCCTTGGGTGAATCCTTCCTTTCACCAGGTTTGGGTTCCACTGTCTCTGAAGTGGGTGCCATGGCAGGGGAACATGGATAAACCAAAGAGCCTGACGCCATTTCAAGGAGGAAGAGGGGGGTTCTGCCCCTCTCATGTAATCCACCAAGGGGCATTCATTGGACAGCTCTGTGTGCCAGACATGGCCTTTGGGTCTCTGCCGGCAGTTCTGCGCAGCCACAGGGCAGAGCAGGACCGGTGTGCAACAGCGGTATATTTCTGGTATACTTGTATCGTATACTTCTGGGCCAAACCAGAGATGGTGTTGCCTCAGAACAGAGAAATCAGAAGAAAGGCACTTCCTCTGAGGCAGCTGAGCCCTTGGGCATGGCTTCGCATGCAGTCTCAGCCCCTTTAGCTGTGCCTCTGGCCCTGACTATGGGGAGAGAGAGGACATGGTGAAGTTTCCAGGAGAGCGTCAAAAGAGAAAACGACAGGACTTGGTGCAAGTTGGACCTAGGGAAAAGAAAGAGGGGAAGTAAAGGTAACTAACATCGCATTTCCACCCTGAGATGTAGGAGGAAAGGGAGGAAGGGCCGATGGAGAGGGAAGAGGTGGAGGGTGTCTGGTTGTAGATGAGGGAGTCAGAGGAGCTGTTGGGCCACCCCGAGGGGTGGATATTTTCTAGATGTCAGATACAGTGGCCTGGAGCTCAGGAAGATAGACCCACTGAGGCCAATAGGGAGATCAGAGCTAAGGTTTTCCCAGAAGGCAGGCAGGAGTGGGGAAGGTCTGTGCTGGACAAGAGGAATTATAAATTGAAGACACTAGTCCAGGCAGGTGGCATGGATTCAGCCTGGGTGCTCATATGGATCCTTCCACTGACCTGCTACATAACTCTGAGCCAGTTGTCTCCTTTCTCTGGGTTCCAGTTTTCACTAAAATAAGGGGATATCTTTTTTTCTTAAGCTTACTTATTTATTTTGAGAGAGACAGAGAAAGAGAAAGAGAAAGAGCTAGTACAAGCAGGGGAGGGGCAGAGAGAAGGAGATCCAGAATCTCCAGCAGGCTTTGCACCATCAGCACAAAGCCAGATGCGGGGCTTGAACTCACAAACTGAGATCGTGACCTGAGCCGAGATCAAGAGTCTGATGCTTACCTGACTGCGCCACCCAGGTGCCCCCAAATAAAGGAATATCTTACGGGGTCTGCCAGCTTTGATCTAAGAACAATAGAGGAAATGAAGAGAAATGAAGGAGGAGGCATAGTAGGCCTGGGACCAAACTGGGGCTGGGGACAGATGTGACCCGAAGAGATAAAGAATTGTGGGAAGGGAGCACAAGACAGGAAGCAGTAAAGGAACAGAAGGCCAGAGCCACACAGACATCATGACACACACATGTGCTCTACAGATTTGCGGTCTCAGACATTGACATGCTCCCACCCACACCCAGCCCCTTACACAGACACTCAGGCGCACCCCCCAGAAGAACGCAGGAGAGGCCCCACCTCTCCTGTGGGACACCGCCCCCCACCCCCCGCCGGGTTCTCTAGCTTGCTTGACTACACCCTGAACCTGCAGTGCACTTTGGACTTGGGGAGGGGTCAGCAGGGGATGTAGCCTCCTTCTTCTGCCCATAGGTGTTCTAGAAGCATCCTTGTGCCCCTTGCAGCTGCTTTGGACCCCACATTCAAGGTTCCTGAGGATGGCATGCCTCCCCCTCCCTGGCTTCTCCTGAGAGCACAGAGGATTCCTCATCCTCTGGGGGTGGTCGGCGGGGGAGGATGTTGCTACCCCTGCTGCTGCTTGATCTTCCTCATGTCACAGTGGAGGAATGTGAGGCCCAGAGATATCCTGTAACTAACCTGAAGCCACATAGCAAGGGAGGGGGCATGGAGCAGACCAGTCTCAAACCTGGTTCTTCAGGGCACCCCTAGCAGTAAGGATTAGAAGCCACACTGGCATGCAGTGGACAATGGGAGAGGAATTTCTTCTGCTAGTCCGACAGCTTCCTTTTCCAGGGTATCTTCGTGACAGGCTACCCTGGGGTCGGAGCCTGGTGCCCTTCCAAAGAGAGGGACATCCAGGCAGGTCAAGCTTACCTCCAGGGCCAAGTCCTAGGAAACGGAGTTCCTGGAGGGACATTCCTCCCATGGAGGTCAGCCAAGAATGTCCACCTAGCCTTCAGGGCCTGGCAAGGCCTCGCTCCTGATACACCCTGGGGAGGGCCTGAACCTCCTCTGCGAAAACTCCTCGGTCACAGGCTACGTGAGGGGCTCCTGTTCCAGCCGGGGACCGACTCTTCATCCTCCCCAAACCTGCTTCTCAGCAACACCACCTGCATTCATTCAGCCCCAAATCTGAGCCTCTGCCTCAACTTCTGTGTTGCTCTCATCCCCCCATTCAGTCACCCAAGTCCCACCTAGCATGTCACAGTCCATCCATGTCACTCCACGGCCTCTGCTCGGTGTCACCATCTCTCACCTGAACCATGCAGCAGGCCCCTCTCTACCTTCCCCTACCCAGGCCACCTTGCACACTGGAGCCAAAGGAAAAATTCTAAAACACATTCCTACTCTCTTATCCCAGCACCTGCTTCAGGACCTGCCATTTGTAAGCATTCTGTGTTTATGGGCTGAATGCTATCTTCCCAGCCCTTGCTTTAAAACCCCTATGGGTAAAAGCCAAACTCCTTGGCATGAATTGAAGGCCCTTGACAACCGGCCAGCTACCTCTTTGACCCAATTATGAGCTATTGAAGGTTGGCCCGTATCTACTTTATCCCCATCACTGGCACGGGACCTAGCACAGCCAGCCTCAATAAATGCTTAGGGAATGAGTGACTAATGAAAAGCAGGATTAGTCAGGGTCATCAGTGCTCTCAGCTAGGACTTCTATTTGTACGGAGGAAGGAGAGGGACAAGCTTCCTGCTGGGGTGGCCCAGAAAATCTTGAGAAAGAACTTGGGAGACGGTGCCGGGGGACATACGAGGAACCTTCTTTAGTTCCCTGAGAAGAGCCTGCAGAGGCGGGAAGGGGCCAAGTGTGGAAAGCTCTAAATAACAAGGAAAGGATTAAGACCCTAGGGGTGTGTGGGGCTATGTCAGGTGTAAACAGGAGAGGGGAGGATGAAGACTGTGGCATCAGCGCCGGTCAGTGAGAAGGCCGGGAGCTGAGACCCTGGGGTGGTCATTCTGGGTGGAGGTGAGGGCAGGGGACTCATCCTGCTGTGGAAGGAGTAATTCTGGCTGTGGGAATGTTGGACTTGTTATGGGAGGGGTTGTTGTGGAGAAAGAGAACCTGTCCTCTGGGGACGTGGGGACCGCTGCTGAGGTGGCCTTGCCCTGAACCAAACTGAGGGAGCCCCTGTCCTCTAGGCCCTGCCATGGGGAAGACCAACAGCAAGCTGGCCCCAGAGGTGCTGGAGGACCTGGTTCAGAACACTGAATTCAGCGAGCAGGAGCTGAAGCAGTGGTACAAGGGCTTCCTGAAGGATTGCCCCAGCGGCATCCTCAACCTGGAGGAATTCCAGCAGCTCTACATCAAGGTGGGCGGGGCCAGGCAACCCCAGGGGGCGGGCCAGACGGCTGGGGGCGGGGCCAGGCAAGGCCAGGGGGCCGGACCGGGTGGCAGTGGGCGGGGCCAGGCAACCTCAGGGGGCGGGCCGGACGGCTGGGGGCGGGGCCAGGCAAGGCCAGGGGGCCGGACCGGGTGGAAGTGGGCGGGGCCAGGCAACCCCAGGGGGTGGGCCGGACGGCTGGGGGCGGGGCCAGGCAAGGCCAGGGGCGGACCAGATGGCCGGGGCCGTGGCCAGACAACCCCAGGGGGGCGGACCGGGTGGCAGCGGGCGGGGCCAGGCAACCCCCAGGGGGAGGACCAAACGGTTGGGGGTGGGGCCAGGCAACCCCCGGGGGGCAGGCCGGACGGCCGGGGGCGTGACCAGGCAACCTTAGGGGGCGGAGCCAGACAACCCCAGGGGGCGGACCGGATGGCCGCGGGCGCGCGGAGACAGCAAGACTGCCGCTTCACCACAACCCCGCATCCGCGCCTCAGTTCTTCCCGTACGGCGACGCCTCCAAGTTTGCGCAGCACGCTTTCCGCACCTTTGACAAGAACGGCGACGGCACCATCGATTTCCGGGAGTTCATCTGCGCCCTTTCGGTCACCTCCCGCGGGAGCTTCGAGCAGAAACTCAACTGGGCCTTTGAGATGTACGACCTGGACGGCGACGGGCGCATCACGCGCCTGGAGATGCTGGAGATCATCGAGGTGCGCTTTGGGGGATCCGGGAGGCCAGGATGCGCTCGGGTGACGCGCCCCTGTCTTCGAGGCACGTGCTCTCCAGCCCTCTCCAGTCACCCTACTGTGGGACCTCAGGAACATCCCCGCTGCACTCCACTGTCCCCGCCTCCCGGACCCAGTGGCTAACTAGCATTGTTTGGGCGTGCAGTGTAAGGACAGGCCTTATGCTAAGTGCTTTACCCAACAACCATATGGAGTAGGTACTGACAGAAACCCCATTTTACAGATGTGGAAGCATAGCAAATGGTGGTTCATGATTCAAATCCAGGGAATCCGACTCCAGAGCCTAAGTGTCTAACTCGTTATTTTTTCAACAAGTATGCCAGGCACTGTTCAAAGTTCCTGTTTTTTGGGGGGGAGGCGTGGGGAGGAACATTCCTTCTATAGTGAGAATATTTTAAAACAAAAAGACAAAAAACCCTGGGTTATGTCAAGCAGTAACTGTTAGAAGATAAGAAAAGCAAAGTAAGGGGAGCTCTAGCGACGGAGAAGATGTAAATAGGGTGAAATGTGAGCAGCAACCTGAATAAGGTGAGGGAGCTAATCATGTAGATTAGTCTTGGGGCAGGGGGAGTATTCTGTGCAGTGGGAACAGTAAATGCAAAGACTCTGAGGTGAGATTGTTTGCAGTGTTCAAGGAGTAGCCAGGAGAGCACAGTGAAATGAGAGAAGTGAGAGAGGGGAGAGTGGAAGTGGTCAGAAAGGCAGCCAGGAGCCCAGTCTCACAGTCTGGGGTAGAGGCTTGACTTTATCCTGAGCGAGATGAGAAGCCATTTAGAGCTCTCTGTTCTGTGTGGAGAACAGACGAAGGGCATGGGAAGGGAGCAGGGGCAGGGAGACCAGTTAGGAGCCTTCCACTGCAGGCCAGTCAGGAGCTGATGGAGACAGCAACCCTGGAGGAGCAGTGCAAGTGGTTGGATATGGGACCTCATGCAAAATCTGGGCTGACAAGATTTGCAGAAGCATTGGACTTGAGGGAGAGTCAAGAACGTTGTCAAGGTTTTTGGTCTGAACACCTGAAAGGATGAATTTGCTCTTTACTGAGAAAGGGAATGCTCTTCCCCCAGTTTTAGACATCTTTGGTTACAAGATAACCATTAAATATTCAGTCTTAGTGACCATACGTCACCTTCCAGTATCCTCCCCATCTCCCAGTGTTCTGTCTGCCCACCCTTGACCTCCTTCATTCGCGCCCCCCCCCCATTATTCCTGCTCACTGTGGGTGTTCACAGTCCCTTCCTTCCCCCCACCCCTGCCAGGCTATCTACAAGATGGTGGGCACTGTGATCATGATGCGTATGAACCAGGATGGGCTCACGCCCCAGCAGCGTGTGGACAAGATCTTCAAGAAGATGGACCAGGATAAGGATGACCAGATTACACTGGAGGAGTTCAAGGAGGCGGCTAAGAGTGACCCATCCATTGTGCTACTGCTGCAGTGTGACATGCAGAAGTAGAGGGTGGTGAGGGGCAGGGCCCCTGGCCAGGAGGGCTGTGGCCACCTCCCAACCCAATGACCTCTCAGGGGGAGGGGTACGCTAGCCTCACTCTCTGGCTCACCCACCCCTCTGCCCAAGCCCTTGCTCCCCTCAGTCAAGATCCTTGAGGGACCACCTCACCCTGGAAAGGAGACAGATCCTCAGGTATTCTGTGGTCTAGCCCCACCCCCAGTCTTGGCCCAAAACCACCTCCACTGGGCACAGAGAGTTGGCTTTTGCCCCAAGAGGCAGGGTTGAGGAGGGGGCTGTGGGTCTGCTTTGAAATTCTATTCTTCCTGGGATTATGCTTTACAGGATGTGTTCCCACAGATCCCAGTTAAAGGGTCACAGTGGGCCTGTCCTTTGCTGAGGATGTAAATTCCTTAAAGGTGGTCTCTGCCCTGCCCGCCTTGACTCTACCTGGCCCCTCCAGCCCCAGCCTTTGGAGCGTTCATTCAATCCTTTCTTGACCTAACGTTTATTGAGCACCTGTTCAATGCCAGGCACCTCTAGGTGCTAAGGTTATGGTAGTTTACAAGACACATTCCATGCCCTTTGGAAGCTCATACAAGAGGGTGAGGCAAACCTCCAGTGGTCAGGGTCTCATATGGGAACGCTGCACACGGTGGAGCAGATGGCATGGAAAGGCTAGCTAGTTTGAAAGAAACTATGAAATCTTTCAGCTCAGCTCCACCCAGAGCTGCAGAGAGATGGAATGAAAAGTGTTCGGAAGTCTAGGAACCATATGAGTGGAAGTTTTAAGAAACACTGATATTTATGTAATACTTATTTTTTTAGAACCCTTTAAAAGAGCTAAAGTCATTTTATTAGTTTAGGATATTAAAACATACTTTCTATTACTTGGTTTCTTGTAAAATGATTAAATGAATATAGAAAATGCTAATTTTGCAAAGGGGGGGAGGGAGAGCCGAGAAAAAAGAGGGAAAATACGAGCAAACTTACCAAATAACACTTTTTCTTATCAGATCAAGTCCTGAGGTGTCACCATCAGCAGCCTCTGCTACTTCCTTTTTAATGACCCTTTTCAAATCAGTGAGCAGATCTCTATTGGGCACTTGCTCTGGTTGGATGCTGACTTCAGAAACAGAAAAGACAAGGTTTGCTGCGAGTCAGACTCGTGTATCTTCCACATCTTGGTAGTTCCTTTCTGGATTTCAAAGATGGGCTTTTTTTTCACTGCTACAGAAACAGAAGGACCTAGAAGAAGGGGACCACCTGGCCACTGTTTGGGTTGCCAGACCGCACTTATGGACCAAAATGCCTAAAAAGTGCTGGGGACGTGCTCCATTTGAAAGGCTTTTTCTAACCCCAAATCCTCAGTCTGCCAGGTAATTTGTCATCTTCCAGGTGTACTGGCTTTGCTTTCCAATGTCTGCTTTCCGATTTTGGATTCATGAGCTATACAGCTGCATGCTTTGACTGCCAGAAAATTAATCTTGCTCCTTCAAGCCTTTCCCTTTATTTTCTACTGTACTTGTGATCAGAAATTAGCTTTGATGTGCCGTGACAGATTTCCTCTTGAACTGCTGGTGACAACAGTCTTGTACACAGGTGCTGTCAGCCCAGGGCAGGAGCAGGGAGTGATTGCCGAGTCAGAAGTATGGGATTGTATCTCCAGGAAAGAGATGAGGCATGCCTGTTCTGAGTGCTCACCTGCCCTCCCTTCTCTGCAAGTTGCTTGAGGATGCTGACCTTTGGTACCAGACTCTACTGGACCTTCCTTCTTGTTACCCTTGGAGGTAGCAAGGCCACTTAGCTGCCACTCTCTGTCTTCTGCCTATGACCAGCCATGTGGTGAGGCTGGGAATTCACATCCTCGGGCAGTAACCAGCAAGTTTTTATCCCTCAAGGAATGTTCCATTGCTCTGAGGAGCTGGTCATTAGGTGTATCTTGTGCTACCATTCAGCACCGCAGATACATAGATATTCAACAGCCTGGCTTAGCTGAGACTTCCAGTGGAAGGCTTTTTACAAAGTGGGGTTCCCATCCCCCAAACACTGAATCTAACCTAACTCACAATCGCACAGAACTTCATGACTTTCAGAGGCTTGCCATCTACTCCATCTCTTTCTATCCTCCAGCCTAGGATATTTTCGTTCTCTTTCTCCAGACTTGGGAAGTGAGGCACAGAAAGGGGGGAATCCCTTGTGCAAGAGCACACGGTCAGGAGTTGGCACAGTGCTAAGATTCGAATCCAAGGCTCTACCAGGGTTTCTTCCCTCAGGGTCTCTCCCTCCTCCTCTGTCTGAATCTGAGTCATGCAAAGTCAACTGTGGGGCAAGCTAAGTCAGTACAAGTCTTGTACAAGCTTCCTGCTAAGAAGTTTCTGAGGTGGTGGTCTTCCAAAAAGAAACAGGAGCTTGGTTGAACTCCTGACATTTTTAAGTATCTTGCTGTCTGCTTCTGGGCAGCTCTGTTTTTAAAAAAATTTAAAAAAATTTTTTTATTTACTTCTGAGAGAGATAGAGACAGTGACAGCGTGAGCAGGGGAGGGTCAGAGAGAGGGAGATGCAGAATCCGAAACAGGCTCCAGGCTCTGAGCTAGTTGTCAGCACAGAGCCCAACGTGGGGCTCGAACCCACGAACCATGAGATCACAACCTGAGCCAAGGTCGGACGCTTAACTGACTGAGCCACCCAGGCACCCCAGGGCAGCTCTGTTAACAGGTCAGTGCTGTCTTGGGAAGCCTCTGACTCAGAACCCTGGAAGCATCTGGCTCTGTCTTTGCACTGTCTTTACTATCATATTCCTCCCTAAGAGAACTGTCTTTGTTTTTCTCCAGCTGGTGGGCAAGTCCTACCCATGAGAGCATGTTTGATCACTCCATGCTGCTCGACATATCCTGTGGGTGACATTTGCCAGTCAGGCCCAGTGATGTGAACACATAAAACCAGGCTAGGAACTGGGAACGCCATCTTGCTGATGAGAGGAGCACAGGTGGGCCAAGTCTTGCTCCCACGTGCTCCTGGATGTCCTAAGGGCTGTGTGCTCAGGAGCTTCTGTGGTAGAGCATTGGCCGTGCCCTGAGAAGAGAGGCAGGCCTCCAATCCCTGTGCCAGTATGAGGGACTTGCCATAGAGCTCAAGGTTAGCAGAGATTGAAGTATGACTTGCAGAGACACAACAATGTATAGACAGTGAAAACAATCTATAGAGTATATTCAAACTCTCCTTTTGAAGTTTTGTCTCTTTTTGCAGCAAGTCTGAATTGCAAGTTTCCAGCATCTACCTTCTAACTGCATTCTGTCCTCCTTCATCCTTTTGGGCTGATTGATGAGCCCCTTATTTCTTATCTCCAAAAATCATCAGTGGTCTACTTCAGATTCCCACTCCGGTCCTTTGAGCTGTAATCAGGATTATATAACTTACCTTCAAATCAAAAGTTAAGAAAAAGGAAGACCATAAGCAAAGGCACTGAATCTTCTCCTGACAATTTATAGAGGTAGAAATTCATTGTGCTGGAGAGAGAGAGAGAGAGAGAGAGAGAGAGAGAAGGAAGGGAGAGAAGATAAAGGAAAGAGAAAGAATGAGAGAATAACCTGGGGGGTTTCTACAGAGGGTACTAAGCTGACACTGTAAATGTCTTTACATGAAAATTTACAAAAGCAACACATTTTCCTGAAGATCCACCCTGGGTGAGGTTTTGTTCTGACTTTAGAGATCACTGTGGAAGCAAGGATACATTTCTTACATATTTTATTTATCATTTCTGGGGGGGAAAAAAAAACCCTTCAAATCCTGCAGTGAAAAGTCTCAGAAAAACATGGAATTTTCTTTCTGAAAATTTCAAGGTTTTCTTTTACCTTTGCTGGAAGGTGGGGCAGGACCCGGCCTCCCAGGGTGTATGGCCCTTCCTGCTTGGTGGAGGCTGTGGGCATGTGGAGACCTGGGAAAATGGGGGAGCTGGGTGGTAGAGGGGGGCATCCCAACTCATTCTCTAGTGTGGCCCCCTGTCCTCTCCACATGTGCTGCTCCTGACTGTCCCCACAGTGACTGTCCTCACTATTCAACCCTGTGCTGTGTGGTGTGTTTTTTCACTGACAGTGAATAAAAGGTATGACCATGCTGAGGGCTCTTATTCTTCTCTGAGCTAAGCTAGGGCTGGGGTGAGGGATGGGGGAGAAGAGGGCCGGGGGGAGCTCATCGGTGGGGGAGCCTCAGCAACCCTCTGGGGGCTGAGGTCCTTATTTTAGCAAGGACTCTGGTTATGTGGAACAGAGACCCTCTTGAGCTAGTTCAAAGAAAGGGGCGAGCATATTACAAGGGACCCTCAAGATGGAAAATCAAGAATGGCTGGGCCTCCAAAGAACTGAAACTGGCAACAAGTCTCTCCCTTCTCTCTGGGCCTAAGAGGCTCTCCTCCTCTTGGCAATATTTGCATCTGTGTTCTTTTCCTCGGTTTCTCTTCAGATGTCCTCAGTTTCCCTGCAAGAGTGGCTGCATCTCCAACACTCTATCAAGACCTCCAATAGCTGACAACACTCTGCATCCCTTAGTTGCAGTTCTCAAGCAAAAGGATCTGATGGGCTCAGCTTGTCTTATAGTGGGAGCCCGTGGTCCATTCATCAGTGGCCAGACCAGGTGCTGATATGTGGGCCTGTGTGCCGAGCAGTTTCCCCAGAAGGGAGCTAATGGCAGCCAGCAATGGGCTTTATTTCTCCCTCTGTCCAGTGAAAAGCATCATTGAGCCCAAATGAGTGGATAGTGGGGAGTGAGAAGAAAAGCCAGGAGCCAAGATTATAATTAGGCCATATGGTGCCCTTTGAGCAAATTAGGAAAAGCCACCCCTTCTGAGTGTAAGTATGCAGCTGGGCCAGTGGATGGCACCTTTGGCCTAATGAGAAAAGTATACCCCTTCTTCTGAACAAATACAGCCTTCTCATGCTATGGTGCACAGCTTGGCAAGTGGAACAAATCCTGGATTTCAGTCTCACCTGCTCTGCTGGTCAAGGGTGTTGTGTAGTGTGTAACCTTTTCCACCATCCACAGGAGCCCAGCCCAGACCCTGAGACCTCCCCGGGATGCAGTTAGTGTTGATGTGTTTTTCTTAGAATTTCCCCTCCCTCACCCCCTCCCCTGACCTGTAATGGCCAGAGAGGCACTGTTTGTCACAGGTAGTTGGGGGCAGTGGCAGCTGGAGGTGCCTGCTTTTCCTGAAACACTCAATTGCATTCACAAGGATTTTCTCAAGGACGCTTGGAGGGGGTCGGTTTCCTTGGCAGGAAGCAATTAGGACAGAGGAAGGAGGCTGACCTGGCCTCAGGGCAGCCATGAACTTTAGGAGGTGACTCAGGAGCCTGAGAACCTGGAGCTGAAGCCTCGCTGGGGGGATGGGGAGTCGTATTACCTGCCTATTTTGGGGTGCACAGTTCCTGGGTTACCATCTCTTAAAAACTTCCCCGCTCTGGCCTTCACCTCTGTGACCCTGGTAATCTACCTCCTGCTTTCAGGCTTACCCTCTGTGCCATCCAGCTGTCCCTAAGAAACCAGAATGTTCTTCCTAAAGTGCAAGTCTGACCATGTCAATTCTTCAAAATCTCCCCTCTTCCCTCAGTGTGATAAGCTCCTTAAAAGTCCCTCAAGGCCCCTCCCCCGCATGATCTGCCTGCCACCTGCTGACCACCAAAGCCTATTTTCCCCCTCACACTCCCTTCACCCTGAATTTGAGCCACCCCATATTGCCCTCCATTTCTTTAAGGCATCTCTCATGTTTCTGTGCTTGTACACAAGCCATTGCCTCTCCCTGAGCCACCCATTCCCTGACTCAGTGATGTCTTTCTCAGTGAAGCCCTCCCAAGCCTCAAACAATTGACCTCTCATGTGGACACAGTCCATCCTACTTGACCAAACTGCTTCCCTGTTTGATTCCCTGTCAGCTGAGCCAAGCACATGTTTAAGTCTCCATTTTATTTATTTTTAAAGGCAAGGAAATGAAGGCTCAGGGAATGGTAAGGCTGCAACATGAACTCAGGTCTTCTAACATCAGGGTTACTGTTTATTGTGCTTCAGATCTGTTGGGGGTGGGGGCGGGAGAAGGCTGAAGGAAGACTTCATGGAGTAGGTGGCCTCTTGCCCCAGGTCTCACTAAAGACCAGCCAACCAGACCAGGCATGCTGGGTCAAGGCTGCCCAGGACAGCAGTTCAGGTGCGGGGATCCTGGATTCACGTGCAGAGGGGTGTGTTCCCAGTTTATCCATCTGCAGAAGAGCTGAGCCCTGAGAGGAAGTGCCGGCCAAAGTGCAGGAATGCAGAAAGTGCAGGAATGCAGAGAGCCGGGGAATCCCTGCTTGAAGCCAGTGGTCAGGGTGTGACAGGGAAGACAGAGACGATGGCCAGAAGCCTAAAGAGTGGAAAGAAGAATCTAAGATTGAGTTCTAACCCTTCCCAAGAGGGATCTAGGGAAAGTTCTTAAGGGAACTGAACCCGGAGTCAGACAGGATCCTTAGAGCCCTACTCGTGTCAGTGTGAGTAAGAGGACTGGATTGCTTTTGGTTTCAAGGGATCAGAAGCCGATTCAAACAAGCTAAAGCATAAAGGGAGGCTTGTTGGCTCCTGTAACTGATAATTCAGGCACTGATAGATCCAGAGGCTCAATGTTGTGCCCTCTCTCCCTCTCTGCACTTGCTTCTCTGTCTCTGTGACCTCACTGTCCACTCCAGATGGGCTTCTCTCGTGTTCTTTCACCTGCCTCAGGGAAAGATGGGTTCCTAGCTCACACCGTCGCAAATTAATAGCCCCAGAGAACAAAGAGCCAAATCTCCCAGCAGCCCTCTATAAGAGTGCAGGAGAGTGGCTCAGCTGCAGTCGCATGCCCATTCTTTGTTCAATCACTGTGTCCAGGGAAACAGGGCTTTCCGATTGGTCAGGTCTCGCTCACGTACTTACTCCTGTGACCAGGGAGGCAGGGGGGTAGGGCCTGTTAGCACAATTGACCCTTGAATAATGCGGGTTTAAGGGCACTGACCACCCCTCTACCACCCATCATTCGACTATAAGCGTATAACTTTTGACTCCTCAAAAACTTAACTACTAATAGCCTACTGCTGACTGGAAGCCTCACTGATAATATAAACAGCCAATTGACACATATTTTGTATGTTGTATGTGTTATACACTGTATTCTACAGTAAAGCTAGAGAAAAAATGTTTTAAAAAATCATAAAGAGGAGAAAGCACATTTACAGTACCCAACATATATTTATTGAAAAAAAAAATCTGCATTCAAGTGGACTCATGCACTTCATACTCATGTTTTGCAAGTGTGAACTGTAGAAGAAGGTGGGAAAGGTTGCCATTCAGACAAAACCAATAGCCGCCAGCTTTTGAGGGGCATTTGTTGAAGGGAGGTGGGGACTCTTACGGAGGTGTAGAGATGGACAGTATTGTATGGCCTCATTTGGGACTTGGGACACTGTCTAGATCAGTGGCAGCTCCCTGTCAGGGCAGCGTGGGTTTCT